ATAAATTCATTGCGCTTATTAAGCCACGCAGGACAAAGGCTCGGAAGTTGTTGGTTTTCCAAAAGGGGAACTGTGAGGGGACTCACTCGGAAAAAGGCATAATCACACCTTGACCACCTGTCCACGCTGACGGTTGTCGTTGTCGTTGCCGTGACCCTCCTTCTACACCTGCATTTTGCCGTGCATTTAATCTCGGCAACATTTCCTTTGCCGTCGAGGACGCAGCCCATGACATTTCCTACCTGCAGCCCAGACCCCATCCTGCTCCTGCTCCTTTTCCCACCTTCCTTCCGGCTGGTTCTGGTTATTTTTTTTGTTGCCAGAGCCAACCCTGCGACAACCCTTTACTGCTGGCGACGTTGTCGAAAACAAAAATTAGTCCTGCCGTAAAATGGGCAAAGGAAGTGGTAAGTACCTGTCCCGCTCCGCGCCATCGAGCGACTCTGCAGTAACCGGCTCCGGCAGTAAAAATTCGTAATGTGCAGCTAATTAAGTTCAAAGCATAGTTCCAGGCGCTGGTCTAGTCCTCGTCCATTTACTACGGTCCGCAACCGCCGACAGCCTTTTGCACTAGATCGCCGGATAGTTGGATGCAAGGATGCTGGGATGCAGGGATGCAGGAATGGCCGGATGGACTGGCAACAGAGAGCGACAACGGTTCTGGGGGGACAACTGCCTTTTGGGCCACGTTGACAGTCCCAATCCTCGGTGAAGTTTCGTATGATTGGTCCCGCCGTACAATCCCCAGCTCCTGTGGTCGAAGTTGGTCGCTTTGTGGCCGGTACATCCTTTATCCTTTATTTCACGCAAATAAAATGACACAAAATTAATTCCGACCTCAAAGGAGAGCATCATCATCGGAGATCCGGTTTCCTTAAAGCTGATTGGATATACAAATGCTGTGGTAGGAGACTCGATGAAAAATATTACCATATTAAACAGTGTGAGAAATAAACCGAATTCGTTACTAGGGAAGTTAACAATTCCTTAAGCCATTTTGGGAATTAATTATATTTAAATGTGTCACATATTTGTTTGCAATTTACAAAGAAAAATCTCTATTATTTTCTGTTCTGTTAATCCCATTTTATAAGAAAAACGACTCGAAGCTTAAACTATACTTCAGTTGTAAGTAACAAATGCATTGAAAAGTAAATTTGTAAGCTTTGAACTTTAAATAATGTAATTTTGGTCAAGTAAATTGCATATTTTTATATTTCTGCTGGATATTTGTATTTCATTTAGAAGCTTAAAACGAGGTTAAGGAATCATTTCCGACCCTATAAACCATATATATTATTGATCAGCATTAACAGGCGGGTCGATCTAGCTATCTCTGGTCAAAATCTATTTTTATACAAATTTTCAAAATTTTACATCGTTAAAATTGTCAAAAATTGATAACATATTCAATTTTCCTACATTTTAAATTGAGTATGCATATTTGTTAACCTATTAAAAACTAATTAGCAAAGCTTTCCGAATTGAAATTAATGCTGTTTTGGCTGAGTTGTCATATTTTTAAACTTCAGATTTACTAAGAAATTAACAAATAAAGCTAATACAAAATATCGATTAAAAGACCTTAAAATGCACTAGTTTTTCAATCAAAAATACGTCAAAAATACCTATTCTAATGATTTTATTTTAAATTTTATTCCAGATTTGTATGGCAGATCCAAGAAATTACGTATACGCATAGGTGCGCCCTCGAAGGGAATTTTAATTGTAGTCAAAAGCTTGTTAAACAGTGAAGGTTCTTTAAATTATATATATTATTGATCAACATTTAAAACTGAATTTATCTAGCTAAGTTTGGTCAAAATCTATTTTTTTTTTCAAAATTTTCAAAGTTTGAAGGGGTTCCATCGTTAACAAGAAAGGAAGCTAACTTCGGCACGCCGAAGTTTATATACCCTTGCAGATAGAACTTCTATGAATAGGAATCCATACAATATAAATTAGATATATTGTGTTAAAAAACAATGAAGTAATACCTGCTTTCACCTATACATATTATATTTGCAGTTTTACATTCACAGATTTGCATTTTTCCTCTACATCAAACGATCGTTTGTATGGCACCTATATGATATAGTCGTCCGATTTTTATGAAATTTGCCACAAAATTTAAAACTTATATAAAATGGCTATACCTCAAATTGGATGAAATCAGCTGAAACTAAAAAAGTTATAAATTTAATTGTATTAATTTCTCGATCGTTCCTATGGGAGCTATATGATATAGTAATCCGATTTTCATAAAATTTTACACAAAATTTTAGAATAATATGAAATGGCTATATTTCAAATTTGATTAAATTCTGTTGAAAACTAAAAATGTTATCGCCACCGCGATTGTCAGTCTTCCGACAACAGCCACCGCCATTCTCATTCCTCTCAAATTTCTCGATCGTTCCTATGGGAGCTATATGATATATTAGTCCGATTTTCATAAAATTTTACACAAAATTGTAGAATAATATGAAACGGCTATATCTCAAATTTAATGAAAATCTGTTGAAAACTGAAAATGTTATACTTATTAATTGAATTAATTTCTCGATCGTTCCTATGGGAGCTATATGATATAGCCGTCCGATTTTCATAAAATTTTACACAAAATTGTAAAATAATATGAAATGGCTATATCTCAAATTTGATCAAATTCTGTTGAAAACTAAAAATTGTATAATTTTTTTTGTAAAACTTTTCCGATCATTCCTATGACAGCTATATGATATAGTCGTCCGATCCGGCCCGTTCCGACATATATACGAGTGAGAGTATATAGAAGACTAACTGCAAAGTTTCATTCAGATAGCTTCAAAACTGAGAGACTAGTTTGCGTAGAAACGGACAGACGGACAGACGGACATGGCTAGATCGACTCGGCTGTTGATCCTGATCAAGAATATATATACTTTATATAGTCGGAGGTGCCTCCTTCACTGCGTTGCAAACTTCTGACTGAAATTATAATACCCTGCAAGGGTATAAAAATGTCGAAAAATTGGAAAAAATTTCATTTTCTTAAATTTTTAATTGAGTATGCAGATTTGTTAACCTATTAAAAACTAACATAGCAAAGCTTTCCGAATTGAATTTCATATAGTTCATATAGTTCATTTTTTGCTAAGTTATAATGATTTCCATAATCAATCTGCAAGGGAATAGAAACTTTAAATTTCCGATGTTAGTTTCTTTTTTCCCTTTTGTTTTTGAGGTATTTTTATTATATAATTTTCTCAAATTTAATATACATTTTGTTTATCAAACTTCCTGGTAAGTAGTTGCAAGAAGACGTGTAAATATTTTGTCCTGGCAACCGCACAAATTTTGCAAGGAACCTCCTTGGGAACTCAGGAACTCCTTTGCAGACACCTTTGACAGGTAGTTTCTAAGGACGTAGTAGCACTTAATTTTACGCCACTTAGGAGTGAAGGCACTGCAGCGGTCCACCATTAAATTCATAATTGCTAAGATTTGGCTGCCATTAAAAATGCAAAATGCGTCCAGTGGCGCAGATGCGGCAGATGGAAATCGGGCGGCTAACTTCATCGGAGGCATTAGCAAAGTTTTTGTCGCCTTATTTATATGCAAACCGTACTCGGGGACTGGACTGGTCTGTACCGTGCTTACCGCCACAATGGAACTAATTGCCACAGAACTGTGCAGCCAGTGAAGAGTTTTAAAACGCGGGCTTCGTTTTGGCATAGGGGTATATTTAGTTTACTTAAATAAAGGTATCAGGGAATGGATACTTTAGGAGTTTCTATAGACATAGCAGAAAGGTAAAGAGAAAATATTTAATAATATTTAATTGAGTATTATTAATACCTATAGTATATCGAACAATTCCAATTGATTTGTCATTTATTCTCCTAAATATGTTCCGATTTTTAAGAGTTCTCCCTTGTTTATCCCTTACAACTTGTTTAATCGTTTTGAAGTTTGGTATTCAAGTAGATTAAACAATCTCCAGGTATTAAAATAGTCGGTTCGATCGAAAACCTCTTTATTTCTGCTTCAAACTTATTTTTAATACAGCCGGCATAGCCGTCGAGTGTTGATTAAATACTTGCCAACTGGTGGCATCAAGGGCCGCTGATATATATGGGGGCTAGTGATATCGGGGCTGTCATTTCAGCCACTCTGCTCCACTTGTTGTTGGACAACTGGACAAATAGGGAGCCAGTGTAACTCGCTTTGCATAGACTGCCCACAAAACTAAACAACTAAAAAGCACGCAACTGTTACGAGCTTAGTCCGCCTTATTGCGCCTGGGGGGACAGGCCACAATATTTGTCGTGCAGTTGATAAAACCTCCATTTTCCCCCCTCAAAAACTGTCCTTAACTGTCCTGCGTTCAAACCGATGGTGGCTCAGATTCCATTCCGGGACAGAGACCAGGGACCAGGGCCGCATTGTCGTTTTGTCTGATGAGTTTTTAAGTACAGACAATTACAAACGACAACCAGGCGGCAGCAACAAAATGCAACAAATGCAATCAGCCAGCCAACTTACTTGGCCAAGTCAAGACCACGCCCCCATCCTGCGACTAATCCCCATCCCCTCTCACCAATGCCAACTCTCTGGGAGATCTCTGGGAACTGCTTTGCGGTTATCACATTCTGCTGGGCAGTTTAGCTACGTAATTGAATTAAATTTCGTTTTAAAATGTAAAAGGCTTTTGATTTGGTTTTGTAGTCCTTGGCGGCAGCGTTTGTACTTCATGAAGTAATTAACATTTGTTTCATTGCCAAAGGAGTAGTGGATGAAAGTCAAAGAATAAAAATGAATCATGGGAATTTCGAAAGTAAGTATGAAGAGGCTGAATCTGAAGGGTCTGTTGTTTAATTACAACCCATAGAGAAAGAGACTTTCTTGGGAAGGACAGAGATTTTATTATAAATATATTCATTACGAAATATGATTAAAAAGTTGCAGAGAATACTTAATTTTACAATCCCTAAAAGCAGGCTCTTTACAGAATTCCTTCCAAATTTAAAGTGACATCAAATGAAAATATTTAAAACCTATTACTTTAAACAAATTAGTACTTTCCGTTTGGCAGAAAAGCAACCTACTAAGATATGTCTGGAAAACCTTTGAGCTTCGATCGCGACCTTAGTTCCGTGCGATGGTACCGAGGCATGTCGCGCATTCAGACGGAAGCCTGTGAAAAGTTGCTCCACGCTCTGCGGGATGATTCAGAGCAGGGATCAGCTTTTCGTGTCCGCCGTTGCCTCTCCCATTTGGGCCTGCAACCTCTAGTGTGTTCGGCCCAAATCAAGGCCATCATGGGCATCAGCCAGGGCAGTGATCTGGCCTTCTTGTGGTTCCTATGGGAGGCCGCCTACAAGCAGCCGCGTGGCAAGCACGAAGATCTGGATCAAACGAATTACACGGTCAACGAACAGCTGCTTCTGTCGGGCATAGCTCACCTGGACATGCCAACCACCCTGCGAGCCTTGGACATACTACTGCCACCGGCTTGCCAATCCAAGAAACCAAGACCCCAGTGCGCGAATGTTCGAAAAAAGAATTCAGTCAGGATTCGGCAGACAAGGCAGAGGGATCAGGGAGTTCATCCTTACTTTGAACGCTTGGTAAGACCACGCCCATTCTCTCCAAAGGACAAGTACAGGCCGCCGGAGAGCAAGTTGCAATTTCCGGATTACTTGCAGTCCTCCAATCGGATGCTCGAGATTCCCAACGAGCGGTATCGCTGGTTCGCCGACTACCAATTGTGCCCCCAAAAACGGGTGATCAAACAATTGCTCAACGAAGAACTCAACAGACTCATCAGTAGTCAGTCAGCAGAGGAAGCTGGACCACTATGCGAATCGCATCGCTTTATGGAAAAAATAATGATGGGTCAGCGAGAGGAGAAGGCCAACGAGGTCATCCATCGCTGTCTCTCCCAGTTGGATGTGCCAGGAGCTGAGCTGAAGGCTCGACGCCAGTCCATTGTGGCCGACCTGGAGAGGGAAATTGAGTGTGCAGCTGACAAGATTCGAGCAGATTCCCAGCGACTTCTCAGACAAGTTAAGAGCATCCGAAGCGAGGGAGGAACTCGATCTTGTCAGCTGTGCAACTCAATAGTCTCAACAAATAAGCAGTGCACAAGGCCGAAGGCCAATCTCTCCATACTGATGATGCGTCAGAGCAATGAAGAGATGCTCAGAATGGACCAACTCGACCAACAGAACGAGCAGGTAAAGGTGATGCTAGTCCAAAGCAACGAGCCCAATCGCTGTGGAGCCGGCGATTGCAAGTTTATTAAAGTCGTAGATCCACAAAACGTTCACAGGAAGGAGAAGCAAGTTCAACTGGATCCAAATCCGGGCAGAAATTGCAGCTTAGGACAAACATTAGTCAAACTTCCTCGCTTAGGAGTCAAAAGTCCTCAAGGTTGAGACGAAAGTCGAAAAAGTCACAGGAAAGCATATCCGTAATTCAGCCAAGTATCACAAGCGAGAAACTTGCTGATCGTATTCCCGTCTGCAGTCGCACTTTGCCGTGTTACAGTGGGAAGGCTTTACTTTCTGTGGAATCAAAGACCTTTATTACCAGTACGGCCGAAGGCCTTATGTTGGACTACAATAAGGTTTTTGATCTCCCGGGAATACCGGAGGAGCATTTGCCCTCGGAGGGCCCAGATTTCGTAGACGTAGAGGATAAGCAGCCGGTAATTAAGAAACTCTGCATTGCGGCCTTGAATGAAGGCCAATCCAAGGAGGCCAAGGAGTTACGACAGGATGAGATTCTTCCACCGGTCCTAAGAGCAGCAGCCACTTGTGCCGTCGACATGGTTCGAACAAAGTTCGCTGAGGCCAAGAAGGAACACAAAACCTTAGAGACCATGGAGAATGACAATCAGGAGAAGAAGGACGTGCTTATAGATCCAAATAATAAGCAACAGATCGAGGATATTCTTAAAGCTGCTCTTCTAAAGCTCCGCGGAAATCCGCACTTTGTGCTGGCTTCCTTTCCCAATGCCCATAAGATGCCCATGCTACTCGATTGGGTTGCGGATCGCTATGGAAAGACCTTTAGCCAAAATGAGATAGATGCGCTGGTAAAGTCCTCATTTAATATCTACGAACGGGTCTACAAGAATGACCAGAGCGATCAGCGTGAAGTTAAGCAGTTGGAGAGGAGAATTTTGAATCTTAGTGGAGATGTTACTTATGACAACATAAAGAAGTTTTTGTGCATTGCGAGGCAGCGGAAGGGGAAATATCACCACAAACTCAACGAATTGGCGCTGGAACAATCTCGGCTCATCTGGATGGCACTGCGGGGATACTCACACCTCGGTGGCCAGATCAAGGACACATTTTTTGCATATATGCCAGCACGGGAAAAGGATTTGAAACGGGAATACATGTGGAGGTCATGTGACTATCGAAAAATGGTACTTAACCGAATGCTGGGCCAAAAGAGGAGAAACACTTAGAGTGGAGTTGCTATATGACAGATCGGAAGCCATGCTCGCAGGAGCTGCGTGGTTTTCAATCTGTCATTTGGAAAACTCGCCACATCCTTTCTGTCATCTGATCTGCTTAGTGGCCGACCAGTGTCCAGAGTTCGATGAAATCTGTCATTTTGGCCATTTTTGGGCGCCACTACTTATGTAAACCCAACTTATGTATAATCCCAATTAAAAATGCTGATGCCCAACTAAAACGCATGGCCCGAACAGCGGCTTAGTTTCGGATTTTCAGCTATCGCGGAACTGGCAGATGGCGTGGCGCGGGATGCTGGGGATGCTGCTCATTAATTAAAAACGGGGCGGGATTTCGTCCACGTAAACGTGGTGCGGCGGAATGTGGGTACCAGAAAAACAACAACCGGAAGGAAGGCTGACAGCCAAGCTGCTGCCATGTAATGGCGGTCCAATGACGCACGTGACACGTGTGGCGTGGCACTGACAATTCGAAATCGACTCGCTGACAGGCAACTGACGAAGGTTTGGGGATATAGGAGGACACGGGAGGACGCAGGTTCGGGGCATGGTCAGGACCTGATGGCAGGGCTCTGGTCGCGGTTTTGGCCCGCGGCACTTTGTGTATTGAATCGCTAAAGCATGTGACAGGATTATGATATAAATCATTGCATACTTTACGGCGATCGATTTAAGGCCACGCAGGCTCGTTAGTTTACATTTTTATTTAATGTGATTCCCCGCATGATAAAAGGTGAATAGGCAGCAGTGCATGGTATTATGAAATTCATTTTGGTTTTAATTATTTTCATCAGTGTTTACAGGCGGAAACTAGCTTATAATTGGGTATATTTTCACAGAACATTTTTGATTTTTATAGATCCGACAGTGCCCAACACCTCAGGCCACCCCAGCTACTAACATTTTGATTAAATACTTAAATAGCTGTAGATTTGACAAATAGGCCAAATGGTGCCTAAAATGATGTCACAAAGTATTGCATTATACCAAGGTAAGCCTATTTCAATTAAGATTATTTATAACATATTTTATTTCATACATCTGGACATATTTTGAAAAGTTTTTAAGAACCATGAACTTTGATTTCTGTGGCAGTTTTGTATTAAATATATTTCGTTAAATAGATGCTTGAAACATTTATAAAAAGAATGGTACCAATATTACTTTAAGCTAAATTCTTATATAATTAAAATGTTTGGCCATTGATTTGATGGAACTTATAATCTCTACAGTTTCCGTGGCTTTTCTGTTTTACTAAATTGCTTTGCTTTTCCTTTATCTGTCAAATATAAAAACATGGTCAATATTATCTATTTAATTTACCAAACATGCTAATTTAATAAAATAATATATTATATATTTTCCCAACTTTATAACAATGTAAATGAACTTTTTTTTTTGGTTCTCTTGGCTCGCTGAATGGGGACAACAAAGGTGGCAATAGAACCCAATCACATGCAAGTCCCCGAGGGCGGATGTTATTTTTTTATTCTAGGATTTTAGGATGCGGACTCCATGCCAAACTGTCGGATAATCGCCGGCTAATACAATGAGCTTGCGTGGGAGCCCTGGCCTGGCTTGGTGAATGTCGAAAGTCGAACAATGCCCCACGGAGACGGATCCCCCATTGGCAGAGCCATTTCCATGGCCATTATATTCAATTATGGGACAATAACGTGGCGCTTAGGGCGCTGCGGTTCACGGGAATTGAAAATAATCATAAAGCGGGGGATAGATAAAAAGTGCAAGCTGGTTTTCGGTCGATGGTCCGTGCACAAGGACTTGGACTTTGGACGAACTATCAGCGGAGAAATTATGATTAGCTTTTGCTAAACTTTTCCACCGCAGTCAGCAGGACTTGGCCAACTTGCCACTGCATACTTTGCGGCGTTAAGCTGGATGGACAGCGGACAGGACCACAGACAGGACTGCGGAGCAGTGAAGCGGGGTTTCTGAAGGGCCGAGAACAAAAACGGAATTTCTGCAAGCGCAACGTTTTAATTTGACTCTTGATTGTTATGCCATTGTTGCCTTTGCATTGTGCACTCGGCTTTGGCACATTCCAGGGCTACACCCGTAATCGCCGCTAATGCGCCCGAAATTGTGCTAAGCGATTTCCATTCCGTCCCATTGCCATTCCGCACTCTCTCTCCCCGCCAGGACCGCTGGCTATTTGGCCAGCAGCAAAAGGAATCAGGACTCAGCGACTCTCAGCGATTGTGGCCATATTTTAGGGCTTTAACTGGCGGGCGTCCATCGCAAATAAGGATGCTATTTTTCCGACTTATCGCCGGGATTATGAATCGGTCTCCATTTGTTTTTAAGGAAGGGCCACTGGGATTTGCATTTGCACGCAACATTTGTTAAATGTATCGTCATGTGTATGTCATTTCACTTAATTATGCCATTTACTTTGCATACACAAAGCCTCCATAAGTTTGCCCCTTCCCCCCAAGAAAATCTTGCTCAAATTTGGAACTCTTGGGCCAGGGCCGAAGGACAATTTGTCACAATTATTGCACACGAAATGACAGGCAAATGAAAAGCAAGGAGCTGGAAAACAAGCTCCGGAAAAGTCGGCACCAAGGAGGCGAGCCCGGCTCGGGGTTTTGACAAGTTAAATGTGTTCTTCTCTCCGCCTGCACAATGATGCAGCAAACTCCTGTCGCCGGAATATTCAGGAAAACGGAGACATACATAGCCACCTGAGGGCTCAAAGCTGGGGCAGACTCTTGTGTTGGACATTTTGTCATATTTTTTGGTTAATTTCAAAAATGCAAATCATCGATGCCCGGCCGGAACGAAGCACGTCCTGTCGCCTTTTTGACAAATTTGCCATCAGTGCTCTGTGCGGCAATGTGCTCGTTACAACTTTTCTACGGCTAAAATATGTATCATGGCCTCGTCTCCCCTATTTTTGGGCTTTAATATTACCACTGCTGGCAAGCCTGCCTGCCTGCATGTCCCTATGATTCTGGCAACTCGTCCTGCCGATCGTCATCATGTTTTCTGTGGCCTGGGCCGCTCACATTTGTTTGCAGCTTATTCGCATAGTTGATGTTGGCTTTCGCTGCATGGTTCAAACGCTTCGCCTCCGTTGGCCATGTTATGCAAAGTTGGTATTTCCATTTCCTGCATTTGTTTGTGCTCTTCGCTTGCCTTTTGCTTGTTGCTCCTTAAATTGTTCTGCATTTATGTAGGTACTTTTATTGGGGTTACACAAGTTTAAACATAATATTTGTTATTTTAATTTGTTGATATTACTAAAGCTTTTCATAAGAAGGTTTAAGTTAAAATAATACATACAAGTCCTGTTGGGTATATTTAATGTTGAAGAACTTATGTTATAAATACGTAACTCAACAATGTTTGAGTTTATTAAGCAGATTGTGGCTTACAAAAGTTTTCAAAATCGATGCTGAAAAATGTGATGTTATAAAAATATATTATACAATTAATGTTTTTTTAAATCTTTTATTTTCATAATTATATGTAAGGTATTATGTGTATAAGAGAATCTACTTTACATCATCAATTTTCCTTAGTTTATTCTACTTTACATAATATCCTAACAGGTCTGTTCATAAATTATTTAAATGGTAAATTAAATCACTTTAATCATTAAAATCTATTTAAATAATAAACATATTTTATTTAAGTATATATTTATTTAATTATTAAATCTCTATTATATCAGTGGGTTAAGCTTTAATCCCTGACATTTTCGAGGTATGATAAGCAAAGCTAAGCTTTTCTTGGAAGCTCAGACCGGTTCTCTCCCAACTGCGCATGCGCCGCCGTCTCAATGCAGTTCCATAAAGCTCAGAGATTTAAACTCAACCTGGTTAAAACTCAAACCCGCTTCAACCGATCTAACAGTTTTGTACAAGACGGCAACGCGTGCGCACTTACACGGACTTGGTGAGTGCCGATTTCTTCGAGTGTACCTCAATAATATTCGAATATCAAAATGGAGGGCCAAACGAGGGCCAAGTGAATCGAAATGGCTGCCAACGATGGCCGACGCGACGCGAAAAGCCAGGGGATTGCGTATTGAATACCGTTAAAGTGCCGCCGGAAAGCATATTAATTTACAATATTTAATAAATAATCTATATCTGTCCGTGCAGGTTTATGTCTGCTAACGAAATGGCATTGGTGAAAATTTGCATATTTGCTTTGGCTCTGGCCGCGGGTAAGTCTGAATAAAAAAGCTCTCTTAATTGCATTTGCCAATTAATTGCAACGTCAATACCGTACGCTCTGAACTCTATTTGAATAATGAGCCCTGACTTTAATGCTCTGCAAACAATTGCCTTCTAATTGTTGGCCAAAAAACCCAAATAAACGCCAAACAAATGGCATCCGTTCCAACGATATGCAAATGCTGTAAACACCGAGACTTTGGCGATCTGAAAAATATTGTTGTTAACATTATTTGCCAGCATGTTTATGCATATCTGCAGTGTGTGTGCGTTGGCCTCCTCGCATCATGTCAACTGCCGTCGTCCGATTTCGATGGCACTGAACACGTGTAAATGCCATATATAGCATATATATACATCTGTGTATATATGTATATTTGAACTTTATCTGTGTACTGTATGGCATTCATCCTGGGCATTGTCACACTTGACGCTGCTGTTGTGGGGCGTCAATTTGCATGGCTTTGGTTTTGGTTTCGGTTTTGGCTTTGGTTTGTGTTATAGTTCTGTTTATGCTTCTCCATTTGCAATTGAAAATTCGGCAATTTAATTTGCTGGCAAAATTTTCCGCACACTTATTGTGTGAAAGCTCATTAAAAATTTGTTTGTCTCCGTCGCCCCCGAAATATGCAAAACATTAAAATTGCATATTGTTAACTCCGCTGGAATAAAACATAAATTGATAGTCAAGCAACTGTTGCACGGGGCGTACTATTTCGGGTTGGAGGGCGTAATCCGAATTTTGTAATTATATTAAAATGGCCATGAAAAATATTGCAAATTGCGGCAGCAACACCAACAGAAGCAGCAGCAGCGGCAACAAACCTCATAATTAAATGTATGGCAATTTCAGAGGGGGCCACAGTTTGTTGAAGAGTGTCGAGTGCGAGTATCCAAACATAATATGGCATAAATTAAATTCCCAGTTAATTGAGGGAAAACTCTCCTGATGCCTTTTGAATGCCAAAATCGTCGAGACAATGGAAAAGTTTTAATTTGATTGCCAACATGAGTGTGTGCGTGTGTGTTTGCTCAAAGAGTTTATAATTTATTTGGGTTTTCCCAGGAGTTCAGTTACCTTTTGCCCCAGAATCTGCAACATCACATCCAATTTAACAATCTCTCAACCAGTCGCAGGTCTATTATCAATCTCACAGCGGTTCAATGAATGACATGAAAAAAAACCAGTATGTGTGTGTGCTGTGATGTGCTTCAATCTGTTTATTTTTAATCCATCTAATGTTCATTGAACTTAACACGATGCCTTCGGCACGCACTTTCCCAAGATGTGACAGCCGCGACACCACGACACCCTCGACGTGTGTGACTGGAATCCAAAATCTGTCCCCAAAAACCGAGGAGAGCACAAAAAGTTTAGCCCTGCCTTTGGGTATAAAGGGGAATCTCTGTAGAGATCGGGGATCGGGGCAGCTCCAGTCATAGGCAGTCAATTAATCTAGTTTAACCGGACTGGGGAACGGACCGAGTCTCCATGACAAACTTGTTGACAGACTGTCAGTCGTCAGAGCGGCGGCTCTTCCAGGCCCCGTGGCTCCCATGCCCAAACACAATCCTTGTTCCATTCCCAAAAACCGCATAGACCACGCTCCGCTTGACACACTCGGGCGGCTGCCAAAAAAAGGAGCTCCATAAAAATGAAAGGACAGCGGGTGTTGTCACTACAACGAAAGCGAAATGCTCTTTTTGGAAAGGGAATTCGATTGGTTAATCAAATTAATATATATTTTAAATGGGTTTTTTAGTTGGTATTAAAATCCATTACAAATTGGAGCTAGTGTGTAAATTTGTTTGATGGATTTTCCCTCCGAGCCCTGCTTGTTTATAGGGTATTAACCAACTCAACTATGAAGCTTTAGCTACTTTTTCTTTTCAAGCTTCTTGTTTGTGTGGCCGGTTTGTTGTTATTTTTTCCGCCAGGTCCCGGGCCGTGTACGAAACATGTTTCAATGACAAGCGACAGCTGCAACAGCGGCAGCAACGACAAAGTGCAACAAAAGCAGCAACACCAACAGCAACAGCAACAGCAGCAGCAACTGCAACAAACAACTTGTTGTTGGCCTGCAGAGTTGGTGACTGTTTTTGTTGGCTTAAATGTTGCCTGACACTTCACGCACTAATTGCTCTGTGGAATTGTTTCTTTATTAACGTTTAATCGAATGTCAGCCGTGGCGACGTCAGCATCAGCATCAGCAACAGCATCAGCAGTCACCAGTCGACATCAGCAACTTGCTGGCACTTACATACATGCCAAGTTTATGCCAGGAATTCCGTGTTATCTTTTTAATAATATAAAATTTAACTCCTTTAATTGTTTAAGTTCCCTAAAACCAAGCTTCCCTGAATTAACTTGTTGAAGAATTCATGAAAATGCAACGCATAAACGTGTAGTAACTGCGTTTGGCGTTGGCGGCAATTCGAAAATTGAAATCGTCTTTTCTTGTTTCTCTCCTTGCTCGCTTGCTTTTTGCTCTGGTCTTTTACCATTTATTTTTGCAATGCCTGATTGGAGTGGTTTACCTTGAGGAGTGGCTGCCAGCTACTGAATCGGTTTGTGGATGTTGCTGTTGCTGTTTGGTGTTGCAGTTGCTGTGAATGTAATTGTGAATGCAATGGCCCGACTGTTGCAGCTTGTCGGAAGTGTCTTGGTTTTCCGCCACATTGCCTGGCAGTTCAAGGCTGCAGTTCAGCAACAGCTGATGATGCCGGGTCTTAAGTCAGCTGTTTATGAGCTATAAGCCAGCTCGAAGTTGTAATTCCCATAAGATACTTTCACTTTTAAGGTCGCAGCTCGGCCGCTTGGCCTGTGTCGCAATCCAGCAGAGACAGAGAGCTGAGCTTTAACTCATATACATATCTCTATATGTTTATTAAGTCGTTGCAAACGGGTTTCTCACAAACAAAGTGGAAAAGTTGGGACAAAAAAGAAACAAAACACAAAAAAACGTGCAAGATGCACTGAGAAAAATATAGGTAGATAGCCTTTTTCTTTTTTGTATTTATGCTTTTAAACTCCCAACCCCATTTAGGAAAATTATTTTTGCCCAAAAGTAATCTTTAAGAAGCTTTAAATACTTAAATGCAACTACATTTAATCTCTTTAGTTTTGCAACCATGTATAAAATTTGTAAAAACAATAATTGTTAAAATATTTCACAAGATTAGCATACACATGCATTTATATGCACATATCAACGCATCGAAATATGTAAATGTATTATTTCTGACAGATTCAGCCAAGTGTTTACACTTTTGACAAATGAAAATGAAAATAATTGTTGAATTTGAGCTTTTCGCAATCGATTAGGCATAGCATTCATACGTTTATTTATTTAATTAAATTTGTTTAGGTGTTAAAAGGTGACAACTGTTCAGATTTAACAGAGAAATATTCATTTAAATTCAGTTTAAAGATTAAGAAGATTGAGAGAGTTTATTAAGATTATAAAAGCTTTATGATTCTCATGATTAAAATGCTTTTAATTTGTCATCTTTAACTGTTTGTTTCTATTTTTATTTACTTTATATTAATAAAGATATTTATTTATATTCTTCTCCAAGGACTGACTTCTACCCTGGCCCAGGAGAAGGCCTGGGGACGTGGCCAGTTCCGCGTGGGTGTCGGTCATCCCACCTCGCAGCGTCACCTGCCGCCACGTGACCGTGATCCCGTCCAGGAGGCATCCGTGGTGCCCAAGCGTAAGCAGGCACAGGAGTACGAGCCCACCGAACAGTGCCCGGAGGCCAATGGCTTCTATCCGGACAGCAAGCAGTGCGACAAGTACTATGCCTGCCTGTAAGTGCCCACGGGGCGTATGAGTAATGTTGCAAAGTGTATTAACCAGCCACTTGCAACCTCTTGCAGCGATGGTGTGGCCACGGAACGTCTATGTGCCGATGGAATGGTCTTTAATGATTACACCCCCATCGAGGAGAAGTGTGATCTGCCTTACAACATTGATTGCACCAAGAGGTCCAAGCTACGTGAGTATATACCTGGAATATACATACTCTCAGTCTCTTTAATTTGTGGAGTCCCTTTACGTATGCGCCGCACACACACACAAGAGAAGACAAGACAAGAGAATCCCACGCTATATTTAAAAGAAAACCTGCTTTTTCCTGGCAGGTCCTGATGAAGTTCTTCTCTTCCTTCAACGATGGCCAAAATCAGCCCATAAACGCGCTGCGTGCCCGCACTTATTTGCTCGTTACTTCTGGCCTGCGCTTTTTTGTCAACTTATTTATTATGCAAACGGCATGCGAGGCGGTTAACCCAAATTGTTGTCGTCAATAGGTCTTTGGTCTTGCGACGGTGCTTTGTTTTTATATTTTTTTGGCCCCTCCGGTAGACTTGTTTTATTCGTGATTTTATTATTTCCCTCAAACGCTAAAGCTGGAGCTGGAGCCATCGAAATTTTAAGCCTCGGCATCAGCAATTGGCTTCCCGCAGCTTTAAACTTTTGGTGCGAATTCCCTGACATGTGCCACGTGTGTGTCTGGCACAGCCTTCAAACTTTCCAGCAGAAGACTTTATTAAAGTTTATCCTTCATACTCATCCCTCAGCTAAATTGCTCGCACTAAAACGATTCAAGGAAAAGACGACTTTAATGATATTCCCTTAAATGCTGTCACTTTTTCACAGCTTGTGTTTAAGTTATTAATATAAAATATTACCCAGCGTTTTAGTTACTAAATAAATTATGTGTCCACCCATCAAGGCAATTAGTACACACATTGTGCTGGCCCATTTGCAATTTCAATTACCTTTGTCTCCCGTTGGCCCTGCCCATACATATGTTATGTCCTGCATGTAAATACTACATATATATGCACCTGAATAAATGTACCTTTGTGCGGGCTGCCAAAAAAGCGAAATGTATTTACAAAACTGCAGAAAGGTTTTCCTCTTTTTTGCCCAAAGAATATAAAAAGTTTCGGAGAAAATACGATTGTTCTCTTGTTTCTTTGTGATTTTAAAATGATTTTAATTGCTGGAATTGTTGCATTTGCCAGAAACTCCTCAATCCTCGCTGCATTGCCCTCGGAAGAACGGATATTTTGGCCATGAGAAGCCTGGTATATGCGACAAGTTCTACTTCTGCGTGGATGGTCAGTTCAATATGATCACCTGCCCCCAGGGTCTGGTCTTCAATCCCAAGACTGGCATTTGCACCTGGCCCGATGAGGTCGGCGTCACTGGCTGCAAATCGGAGGATATTTTGAGTTCGAGTGTCCCAAGGTGAACGAGAGCATTGCGGTGACCCATCCTCGTTATGCCGATCCCGATGACTGCCAGTTCTTCTATGTCTGCGTCAATGGAGATGTGCCCAGGCGAAATGGATGCAAACTGGGCCAGGTCTTTGACGAGGAGAAGGCCTTGTGTGATTGGGCTCGCAAGGTGCCTGATTGGTAAGGATCCTATACAGAGAATATATATATAAGATTCCTAATTATGTATTCCTCTATCGCAGCGCCGACTGGTACAAGGATCGTTTGACCGATGCCGAGCTGGATGAGCTGGAGAATCCCAAGCCCAAGTCCACCACCACCAAGAAACCGCCACGTGTTCGCGGTCCCTCGAGGCGCAAACCAACTCCCAAGCGAGTGGAACCCAAGGAGGAGGAGGAGGAGGCCTGATTCTCGACTGTATTAGTCTTAAGTGTAAACCACTGATTATTGTCGCCATTAAATCCTTGCAGGAGGAGTTCTAACTGCGGATATATCGACCTGGGTTTTGACAGGGGCTATGGATATGGAATACGGGAATAGCTGCGGAGCTTGACAGGCATTCCGCGATGGCATGATGGCTGGGGAATTAGCCCCTCTTCCTTCCTTCCTTCCGAAAGCCCAGATGAATGTAATATGCATGGGAATTTGTGTGAGAAGCAGTTGATGTGGTGCCAAAACGACAGGATTTTATGCGCATCCAGTGTGCACAATCCGTGCACTCTGCAATACTCGCCCCTTTTTCGCCATTCTCCACTGTCCTGACATGACGAAATCAATGCTTGTCCTGGCCAACCCAACTCTCTGCCAGAGTTTTTCCCATTGCCTGCAGCGCATAAATTCAATTTGCCGATGAGCGTGCACAAAAGTATGCAACAAAATGGCAACAACTCGATACACAGACGCATACAAACAAGTGGATGAAGAGGGGTGGGGGAAATAAAGGATGGGTGTCCTGGTCGTCCCGAGGGTGGTGAGGGAACATGTGTATGACGTTTGGCAGACAAGAAGCATTCGATAAAACGCATTGAAAATTGCATTGTGGAAATTGTGAGCAGTTGAAAGGCGAGATTTACAGTGGCCATTGCCAGTGTCTGAATGGAGGAGAAGCATACAGTGCAGTACAGAAAGAAGGGGACAGCCACCAGAATCCTTATTGTTTAAGCACTGACATCAAATCGAAGCAAAACGATGACATTTTACTTGGCATTGCTCGTGCGTTTGCTTAAATTTATTTATTCATTGGATTGCAGCAAAGCTTCAATATGTATTTTCCATCTAGCTTTGGCAAGTAGTAATAAGATAGCATAAGGTTTCCCCTTAGAATGGGTTAATTGGTTTACCTCAGGCTAGACAGGATAAAATATTTTAGCACTACCAATTGTCTTATGTCCTTACTGGACAATATTTTTCCATGAAATCCTGTAGAGAGTTCGTTTTTTGGTTGTCCTGGTGCTAATGAAGCACAGCTATGGGTCAGCTAACCTTGACTTGTACCCCTGGCCATTTACCCCGCCCACTGCCAGCCAAAGGACGTCTTATTAATTAACCAACACACACATACGCCGACGAGCACCGAGGTACACACTTGTGAACTCACTCAGAACAGGGGACAAGCATCCATCCCGTCGCTTCCGCTGCTGTCAATAATTTGGCACGTCCTGTGATCCCCCCTCGTAGGTCCTTTGGCCACGGCCTCATTTCCGCCCATCGTGTCAACTCGACAATGAACCGCAACCATCCCCCATCCATACCAGCCGCCGTCGCGTCTCGCACCTTTCCAGTTCAGAGGAGGTCCATCTAAAAGCATTTCGTCGAACTCAGCGCCTACTTAATCAAGTGTAACATGGACATGTCCAGGCTCACCTGCCGTTTGACATATTGCTCTGGCCCTTTGCTGGTTCTGCTCCATCTCCAACTTGTGAGTTGCTGTTGGTCCTGTGTCCATCCGAAAGCGTGCGCGCTCGTATCAAATGTCAAATTTGACATAAACAAGTGTTTACATAATGACAACAACAATTTGCGTAATTGTCACAGGCAGCCGAAGCAGCGAGGATATGCGAGGATATATTGGTCGGGTCTATCCACATCCTCTAGCATCTGTGGACTCATCAAACAGAGAGGAGCAGCCCTCGCTATGTGTCCTCGACTCGGTCCCCTCGATTTTGGGGGCTGCATTCAGCCCTTTTGTCCTTGCCCCACCCTCAACACACGCTCACACACACACGGCACACTAAGTTTGTTTGCAGGAACTGATTAATTGATGGGCGTGCGGGGCCTAGGAAAAGGTCAAGATGGGAAAATCTTTTGACATTGTTAAGCGCCAGGGGGGGAGAGAGAGTTGGGAAAACTTTTTAAATCCAGATTAAACAGCATTGAAAGTTCTCGTTATTTCGTGATTAAGCGTTTATCAGAGATCCCTTAATTTCTGACAGCGTTTCTTACTCTATCTTAAAGATTATTTTTTTTTTTTCTGGGGACTTATTTGCTTTTAAATGGAATAAAAATGAATTACAAGGGCTTGGTAGCATTAATAAGGGTTTTTAATAAGCTTGTGAAAGGAATTTTTTGAATACGAGTCTATGATTATTACTATTTACTAATATACACCAAATAGTTTCCTTTAACATAATGTAGTAAGAAATCTTGATTTCTAAGAGAACGGAGCTCTATTTGGTATTTACTTTTGACTTGTACAGCATTTTCGTATTTGACCTTTTGGGATTAGTACAAGTTTAAGGCCAGGCGGTTATCCTGATCTGGTTAAGCCACGCCTTGTTGTTCTCCTCAAAGGCCCCAAGAAACAATCAACATCAGCAGGACCAGCATCTTCTGGGAGTTTGCCACACCCCCTACCGGCCGGCCAGGCCTGCATTATTACCAAAAAAAGGAAGAAGAAAAAAGTAAAGAAGGGCAACAGCAAAACGAGGTATTGTGCCTTTTGCCGGAGAAAAGTTGATTGTTTGGCCCTTGGGCTATTTGCTTTCTTGATGAAATAATTAAATGTCATTCATTGAGGTCGTTTGCTGCTTATTCTTAGAGCGTCCCAGCCTCCTCTTCCTGCTTTCTCACTTCCTGGGGCGCCGGACCGGGCCTTTTGTAATTGTTGACCACTTTCGCATATCCTTTTTGCGCCTTGTGCCGGCTAATTTGTGCAGACATCGCCCGGGTATGGCGATGGGGGTCCTGCTTTTGATTTCAGCTATTGTAGGCTCTGTATCTGTCCCTGTCCCTGTCCCTGCTCCAAGTTCATTAAACTTTCGGCCAGGCGGCGTCTTTAGTTTGGCTAATTAAGTGCTGCACATCCTGGTCCGGGCCAAGTTTAATGAACTGCCCTGGCCCTGACGTCACACCTGACGCATCCCGTCAGGCGATTTGCATATTCATAAGTGCCACGTCAGGAACAGCAGTCGCAACAGATGGAAGGATATCCTCCAAAACGGAAAGATGTTCACTCTCAGAGATGGTGAGATGGAGAGATGGATGGACAGCCAGACAACCAATTTGGCTGCGAAACTTTTTAGGGTCTTGGCCGGTTTTCAATTTGATGTAAGCCACGAGTTCAGGCCAAACTTTGAGCCGAGTTTATTGCCTTGCAAGTGGCAAGCGACGGCGAGCGGCAACTGGCAAGTGGCAAATGGCAAGTGGCAGCATGGAAATCAATTCTAGCCCAATCCCGGGAAAGTCGCGTCTCCATGCAAATGCCAGTTTTCCCTGAAGCCAGCCCGAAAGTCTGGCGTTATGTTGTGCCAACTTTAAAACTGTCAAATGGACAAGCCAAATGCCAACCCGAAACTGTCAAAAGTTATGAATTTCGCACACACAGACAGGATACACCGAATCCTTTGGATAACAATTAATGGGAAAAAGCAATTCGAGTAACTGGCAACTGGTTACTGCTACGGTTACCGCAGCTAAACACAGGAATTGGGCTGCGTCCCGTTCGCCTTAGGCACCAACTCATATAAATCACATGAATTTATTATGATGATGGCATAAATCATATAGCCATGCAATATATAAAATTGCACCACTTTTTTTTTGTTTTTTTGTTTTTTGTTTTTAGGGGGTTTTGTTTTCTGTTGAGGCATCAACTTGGGGCATTGTGTTCGTTGTTTAAACGCCGCAAAATATGCAATTCAAGCGATACCATGTTGACAGCCAGGAGCGGGGAAAAAATGGGGGTCCTGGGCAAGAATTGCCAGTGCTGACATTTTGGCCGAATTTCCAAGGTTTACTTTTAATTTGTAAACTAAATAAAGGTATGTAATTTGGTTGTTATTTTTAGGGTATTGAAAAAAACAGCGACTATTAGACTATCGGCAGCCATAGGAAGCTACAACATGAAAAGGTCTACATATAAAGGATAAGTACTACTGATGTAAGATTTAAAAATATTTAGTTTTTCAAACTATGAAAAACAGTGTTTAGAAAAGTGCAGAAAACTAGCTTGATGATTCAATAGAATCAAAAGGCTTTCCATCTTTTATTAAATCCCTGAATAATTGGCATTAAATAATTGTACTTCCCAGTAGAAATCATAATTATTATCTTGAACAAAATCAAAACTTGATAAAAACGTGTTGATTATTGTAATTACTTAGAAAACAGTTTTTTAAGTATTATGACTTTAAGATTATCCTTAGTTACATGGTTTTTATATGACTTTGCTTTGCAGATACTCTTAATTACTTTATTTGTGTAGTCTAGTAGTTAAATTCATCTTAAAATAAACAGATAGACAGGAGATCAAACCTTGTCAAAAAGTTTTCGTACATTTTAATTACCCGGGTAATAGTCAATTTATAGTTCCTGAGTTTGGTTCACTCAAAGAGGTAGTTGTGTAGCATTTTTATGGTTTTGTTTTTCGGCTACTTTTCGGTAACTTTACGGGCCATTTCTGGTTGCCAGAGTTCCTGAGTTCCAGAGTTCCGGGGCAGCACTCGAAGCTGGGGCAAGTCGGGTCAGTTGCTGTCACCATTTGGGGCAGTGAGTGGTGCAGGCAGGGCACACAGAGTGCACCGCTGCGGCGAAATGTTCCGACAGCTCGGCACATGTACTGCACCCAGGGTCCTGGATCCTGTGGATCCCGTCCTGGGCCCAAACTTGGCCAATGGCCATCCCACCGAAACGTTCCAACCCATAGAAATGGACTTCTTTGTTTTTTGTGTGTTGCAGGCCTAGGCCTGGGGACAGGGGACACTGGACAGTGGGCCATCCCCTCGCAATTTGTTTTTAGTGGCCTGTTTATGCTGTGAGTTTATATGTATGGTTAGGTACGTGTAGCTGCAGTGCCCATGGTGTGTAGTTTTTAGTATGTAGTTTGCAGTTTTGTAGTCTTTCTCGGCGGCTGTCACTTTTCATTGCCCCAGCATGTTCATAATTTCCATGTTAATATTGCCCTTGAGTCACAATTCAGCAATGAAATTAACCCGGCTGTAAGCACTCTGTGTGTGTGTGTGTGTTTTGTCCTGCGGTTTCCTCCTCCTAGCTC